GTGCTCGTCGAAACGTTCGCGCAACGGACGCGAGTCGAAGTTGGACGGGTTGTTCCACCAGCGCCATGCAGCCTCGACCGTCTTGGATGTGCGCCAGGGATGCACGACGTTGACCTCGTACGTCAGGTCATCCTCCTGTTCCTTCTCGATCTTGACGGACGCTGCCTTCTCGGCGGCCGTCATCGGCCTTGACGGTGCGGGCGCAGACGGCGTCGGCCGTGCCTCGGCCAGCTTGAGAGCCTGCATCAACTTCGCGATCTCCGCGTCCTTCTCCTCCAACTTCTTCTGCATCTCAAGCTTCTCGATCGCGGCATCCTCCCTCTGGCGGTGCAGCATCATGGTGAGCTGGTCGACCTGATATTCGGCGTCGATTCGCGCGCTGAATTCCTGCGATCCAAGGGGGATGGTCGGCAAAAGGTGAGCCAATGTGGCAGGACGACTTGTTTTGCAGGTCGCCGGAACGCGCACGCCGTACCTCTTGGGGGTTCTCGCTCGGAGTACTGCGCGTCGCGATGGTTTCGAGGTCCACCCGGTTGACGTCCTTGGCCCATTTCTGGAAGTCGGGGTCGCGGCAGAGCTTGGAACTCTGGACGTACGGGTGCCACGGTTCGCGCATCAGCATGCACGTAAGATCCTCAGCGACGATTCGGCGGCCGAACTCGATGAGCGATTGCAGGAAGTGCACCCCGGCCGTGTTGGGCTCTCTCGCGGATGCGCATTTTACCGCCTGCGAGTCGAACACAAACACAAACACAATCAGCCGTCGGTATAATGTCGTCGTGGAAATGGTCGGCGGGTTGTCGGCGTTATTGCCGTCCGAAATGCTCACCTTGGCCAGTTCCGCTTCAGCCCACGGAAAGATGTGCTGGGCGATGAGGGCCACCACCTTGTCGTCGGGCTTCACCATGCTCCGGCCGAGGTGGTAGTCGCCGCGCTTGCCCGTGTAGCCGGCCTTTCTCAACACCGCCGCCTTCGGGATGGTCGTGATGTAGCTCTTCGCGAGCTTGTCGAGCGCCCAGTGGCCCAAGTCGGCGATGTCAGATCGCGGAACGCCGTCGTCGGCCAGCTCCTGTGCCCCACCCGCCCGGGCGGCGTGGGTGTTGCGCGTGATGAAGATGTTGTTCGTCCGCCACATCTCTTTCGTGATCCGAGAATGAGATGACGCCGGCAGCTCTTTTTGTTCCTTGTCGTTCCGAGCATGAAAGAGGTGCTTGTGATACCAGCTGTACGGAGTCGTGAAGTCGAGGGGCGGCACACATCGAGAAGTGGGCGATCGGCTGAGCTGGTCGTACACGAAGTGCAGCCACAACAGTGTGTGACCGACGGCGCACATCTCTTGCTCCAGGTGTCTCGCCGCGTAGCTGTGATGCAGACGAGCATCCTTGTTCGTCTTGGAGTTTCGTGACGCGACGACCATGACAACCGGCCGTCGAGTGGAGTGCTCGGGCGACGCGCTCCCCATTCTGTACAAAAACAGGTCGGGGAGCTCGATCGCTCGGAGACTGGCTCCGCGGAGAAGGGTGTGGTGACCCAAGAGGGTCATCGTCCTCATCAGCAGAAACTTCCACAGTGTCTGGGAGGGGGTGGCCGCTTTGGGTTCGTACGCCCGAGCTGCCCAGGTCGGCAAGACCTTGAACATGAGGTGGTGGATCTGGTCGGTGGTGTACGTGTCACCGAGCGTTCCGCGGTGCCGGTCGACGCAATCCCTGCACATCAGTTTCCACGAGGACTGGGTTAGCTGGGCGAACCGGGAAACAGGCGCGGGACGACTTGCCGACTTACCTGTCGTCCCTGTGCCACTTCTCTCTGACCATCGCGCGCACCTCCGAGCGGACCTCGGAGATGTCGTACATGATGTGGAGCTCCTTCACCCCAAAGAGCGTCCCCTCGACCTTGCAGGCTGTCTGGAGCGCTTTGATACGGATGAGCAGCATCGAAACCGATGTCGGCTTCAGGGGCTGGACACGGACGTCGGGATTCAGCTCCTCGAGCTCCTCGGCCTTTGCAATACCATACTCCCTTGCGATTGACAGAATGTACGCCCTGATCCGCGTGGCGTTGACGCAGGGACCGTGCATCCATTGTAGGTCGCCCTTGGCGGTGTGCCACTGATCACCCATGTCTTCGTCGATGTACCTCCCTATCTCGTCCTCGTGTTCCAGCACGCCGTCCCCCTTGACTCTGGCGGTTGGCTGTCTTGGAAGGTTCGCGCAGCACCATCTCCTGAAGTCGAGCAGCGCCCGCAGGTACTGAACCCGGGTCGTTCTCGCCTCCAGCGTGTCCAGATGCCGGAAAGCCCACATCATCCTCAGCAATCTGTTCTTCTTGGCGAGCTCTTTGTTGATGTCGAAGGCGGCTTCCGCAAAATCGTCGCGAGGAATGTTATGCAGGAAGGCGTCATCTTTCTCGTCGGCTGCCAACAAGTCCTCTACGGTCAGATACATGTAGTCGTTTTCTGGAAATGGTCCAATTGGCGGCGGCTGCTCCGTGTCCGAACGCGGCGAGTACCGGTCCGGCCCGGGTTCGGGAGCCCCTTTCGTCCCTGGCGGTAGGGGGATGGTCGGGTCGGCGGGAATTTTTGCCCTAGCGGCGTCTACGTCGACCACCATGTCAGCGGGAATATTTGCCCTAGCGGCGTCTACATCTTCCTCCATGAAAGGCTCGTTCAGGTCGGGAATCGCGCTGCTCCGCGCCGGCGGAGCGACGCCAGCCATCTCGGCGGGTAGAGTTTTTCCCGTCGGCCTCTAGTTGTCGCCGCGATCTCGCTGCGGTACGTGCTCAGCCCACCAAAGTCGATACTGCACAATCGCTGCCGTGTATTGCCTTCGCACCGTGGCCCTAAAGGCTGCCCGTCTTTCGGCCCTCTCAACGTTCTCGGCGATCGTCAACTCCGCGGCAATGTCGGTCAGTTCGGGAATTTCGGGAAGTAAGGGCGGCGGATTGGTGTTCTGCTGGGTGATGTTCGGAGTGGCCGTGGTCGGCGGCACAATGGTCGGCGGGGTGTGAAGTGGCAATGTATCGTTCGGCGGGGTGTTGTCCGGCGGGATGTTGTTAGCATGGTATATCTCAACGCCCCGACTACATCCGGGTGCAAAAACGACGCGGCTCGGGAAAGGGATCCGCCACCCTGCGTCATCCTGTCCGGCTAACTGAGTGCACGTCCTGGGCGAGGAGCGTCACCCTGCGTCGCCCGGCAATCCCGATGAGAAATACCCCGATAGCACCTCTCAACGGACCCTCCGTACGAGGTCGACACCTCGACGACGCCGGTCGCGGTCAGCGTGCCACGACGTCCACCTAGCCATTGGCGCGGACTGCGACGTGAGGCCCACCGCGATTTCTGGCCGGCCACTGCGCTGGCGCGCAGAGCCACACGTCGCCCATCCGAAACACAACATTCCACGCGGCGAACATCGATCGGCAAACGTCTGTCCACGCGGCGATCAAGCCTTCGCCGGCCTGCTGGCGGGAACGTCCCCGCGGGATACCATCGTCGGGCGACGCCATGAGCACTGCTGCGTCACGCCGACGTGTAAGCACGGTTCACCGTGACGGGAACACCGGACGGTCGGCTGCGTAAAAGACATGAGTGCCCCGTGCAACGTCGACCATTGCGCCGCCGTGCCGTTCTGCCTTGCATGCAGAGTTGGAGACATGCCCACGGATCGCCCGCCAACACCTGTCCGCCCGAACCGCGACTGTGCCTCTCTATGCTATGACCCCCTGACGGCCAAGTGTCCATGGCATTTCGACACTTGTTTGTTGCGTTGCATTCATTTCCATTCTGGTGAGCCACATTTCCCTTGCTCATTTTCACGCTTCTCGGAGACCGACCGACCACGCGCGGTGCAGGGTCGACGACGAGCCACGCCGGTGTAGAGTGCGTTTAGGTCGACAACAACCGAAAGTCGCCGACCTCTTTCTTCAAACCCACAACCAGTATTGTCATCGCCGGTGATCCCCCGTGCGGCCTCCAATGGTCAGGGACCAGTCTGAACTTACTATTTCAGCGTTGACTTTCGTTGAGTGAAAGGTGTGGATTCAAGTTCGTTGACATGTCGCTGCACGAAATCCCATGAGTACGAAACACGAATCGCTCTCAACCAATGAGTTTGCGTCACTAATCTTTGTGGATGCGCTTCGGAATGACACTGCTGCAACAATGTTTGACGTACCAAATCAGGTGCGCTTCCGGTCGACACCACAAAGCTGACATGTCGAATGCTCACATACAAAGAGAACCCAGCGTTGCCTGATCCAAAGAGCATTTTACGGCTTTTATCTAAAGCATGCAGATTTCGCTAGTGCAAGTTTTCGAATGCATGCATTAGACGGTTATGGAAAAATGTCGGCCTGCCGGCAAAATCATGCGGTTACCCGTGTTTAGGGTCCCCCCAGTCGCATGCCATCCAGATGGGGTTTATTTGTTTCTGACCGCAGGCAGATAGCAGTCCGTCAGCCTCTTTCTTCTGCGGCCGTCTATTGTATGCATCCGCGTAATTGCACTGGCATAAGTTGAATTCCGTTGAAAATGGCCCAACATTTTACGACTCATCAATCTCTCTCACGCAGAGGTTACCCAACCCAACCCACACGGAGAATTGCACACAGTCAACCTTCCCGAGCCGCAGCCGCGTTGTTGCTTGAATCACGAGACATGCAAGGAAGCTTGGACATTGCCTTTTTCCCCGCAGGCACCAGCTGCACCGAATTTCATGATACACGTCGCGGTGACAGATTGTGCCGCGGCGGCTTCGCCTTCTAAAGAATGAATGCGAAGCATCCAAATCTTACATTTCTCATCGTCATGGCGATTGTTGCTCTAATTCATCTTTGCGATGCACATGATGACTCTCGTGCTCGTCTAGCAAGCCGTTTATTCGAGGTGCTCAACTCTTCTATGCCACTATAGTACGCATAGCAAAGTGATAGATGCCTAATATTACAACAGCCAATACATATTACAAATATTACTAGTTTTACCGTCTCCTACTACAAGTATGGCAGGTGCCTCGTCGCATCATTGCCATTCGCACGCGTCGTGGTACGCCGTTCTCTGCCTGCTGCTGCTCTCGTTGTCCCCGACTGCGTGGG